TTTCAGCCATGCCCTTCTCAACAAAGTTCATAGCACTAATCTGCAGTAAATAGAAGATATAAACTTAGAAAAACTTATGATTAAGTCGTCTGGATGACTTAGCAGACGACTTATTATTAATTCGTCTGGGTACTCTTCCCAGACGACTTAATAATAAGTAGTTTGCTAAGTCATCCAGCTGGAAGACTTTTCAGACGACCTCTTTTTGTCATCTGCTAAGTCGTCCAGCTGGAAGCCTTTTCAGACGACTTAATCATAAGTCGTCTGCTTCTGGAGTAAAGTAAATACATGTCTTTCAATGGCATCTTTAAAATGCCGTCCTTTGCCACCCTTGTAAGCTAGTATCGGTGGAGAGCTGTTTGGTATGGGCTGACCATAATTAGCACCCAATTCCGGCAAAGCTGTGTACACCCAGACCTGGAGAGCATGTACAAACCCATCAATGGTGTAACAACCAGTTAAATCTTTACCCTTCACAGAGTCCATGAACACCTTAAACGCGACTCTCCCCCATGGATAATTCTCAAACCGTTCTAGATCCATCACTAGCCTAGCCAGAGAAGCCCGTGTATGGGTTGAATACTTCCTCCCTTCAATGTATCCAGCCAAGATGGCAAGGTACCCGAGCCGCTTGCGATCATCCGGAGACCAGTCTTCGCATCTCTGAAATGCATCTATTATCTGATNCCCATGGATAATTCTCAAACCGTTCTAGATCCATCACTAGCCTAGCCAGAGAAGCCCGTGTATGGGTTGAATACTTCCTCCCTTCAATGTATCCAGCCAAGATGGCAAGGTACCCGAGCCGCTTGCGATCATCCGGAGACCAGTCTTCGCATCTCTGAAATGCATCTATTATCTGATCAGTAGTTGGCCCAGCTTCGACGTTAACTCCCAACAACTCCCAGAAAGCAACCAACTACTTTGTAACAGGACAGATTGGTCTCTCAATGTCTTGAATATACTCGCAGTTTAGACCAGTGAGGTATTCAAACTCGACCAGTGAAAACCTCAAAGGTTGTGGACCAGCAAGACTCCACAGCTCATACTTCTTCTTTATGTCGAGCTGGAAACAAAGTATGTAGTGAACCAGCCTTGAAGCCCATTCAAAATCCAGCTCTTGGAACTTGATGAAAACTCCCAACTTAGACTCCTTCAACTCTTCATATTCTTCATCATTAAGAGCATCCCTTAGAGCATTATACAACTTCAAAGACGGATGATACGTAATGCTATGCTGAGCTCTAGGCTTTTGCCCTAGTGTATGTATCCTACGGGGGAGTTCGGGAATATTCTGTAAAAAAATCAAAGAAAACCATCTCAAACACACAACCATCCAGTATAACATTTTAATTATAAGTCTGGAAGACTTTCCAGACGACTTATAACAAAGTCGTCTGTCAAGTCTTCTAGTCGAAAGACTTATAATTAAGTCTACCAAGACTTCCAGTAGAACATTTGAAAGCTGACCTGACAATTCGGAGAAGATGTACTCCCCTTCGACATAGCTGTTATAGAACTGCCAAAATAGACGTGAAAAAAGAAGCGCGATGAGAACGACGGTAACCGTAAAATATCCCCAATCTTTGAAACCCTAATTTGAAATGAAAATATCCACAACATCCAACCTAACTAAACAACAAGTCGACTTAAATCCCCAATTTTTGAAACCCTAATTTGAAACCAAAATTTCCCGAAATCTTTGAAAACTCAAAACCAAACGGTAAAAGTAAAGGAAAACAACATCCATCCTAATAAAAACCCATTAAATCGGCAAGAGAAGCCTTCGATTTACCTTGGTCTTGTATAGGATCGAAATCGCCTCGAAATCACCTTTGAGAGAAACGGAGTTAGGGTTTTCTGAATTTCACGAAAAGTGCGTAAAAAAAAAAAATCTTCTTATAGATGTCCGGTAAAAAATCCGGTTAGGTTTAAAAGTAATTCGGTAAAATCCGGTTTGGACGAGTTATTATTAAGTCGTCTGTTGATACTATACATCCGACTAAGTCGTCTGCCTTATTAAATATATTTACCAGACGACTTAATTATAAGTCGTCCAGACCCTAAACCCTAAACTAAATTGACTAAATTAACTACTAACCATGTTATAAAATCAAATTATACTTAAATAGAGTCTACTATGTATAGAAATAAACACACTTTGGTAAATTTTTAATTTTTCAAAAAAACATTTATGCTTTCGAAAATCTGACCCTAAGAAACACATACAATACTACAACATATGTTGGCAAACCCAAAACCAAAGAATATCATCACTCACTACTTTCACTCATCTATGTTAAAAAATAATTAAATTTTGTTCTATCTTAATTTATATCTCTTAAAACTGGTGTTAATTACATGATTTCAATTTTTCACTTATCTAAATATTTTTTACAAATTTTTTAAATTATGTTTAAGAATAACTATACCAGACGACTTTCAACTAAGTCGTCTGGACGACTTAGTTTAAATTCGTCTGAATAGAATACTTACGAGGTTAGACGACTAATAATTAAGTCGTCTGACAAATCTTCCGGCTGGATGACTTTCCAGACGACTTAAAATATTAGTCGTCTACAAAGTCGTCCAGGCTTTTTGAGTATGTTTTAAGAATTTGTGTTAGAATTTGTGTTAGACTTCTTAGACGACTAATAATTAAAATTGGTGTTAC